GTATTAGATCAAAAGGGTGCTTCTACTAAATACTGAGCAAAGGGTCTGAATACTTAGGACCATGTGATATTTCAGTTTTTCTTTTTTAATAAATCTGCAAAAATGTCAACGATTCTGTGTTTTTCTGTCAATATGGGGTGCTGTGTGTACATTAATGAGGAAAAATAATTAACTTAAATGATTTTAGCAAATGGCTGCAATATAACAAAGAGTGAAAAATTGAAGGGGGTCTGAATACTTTCCGTACCCACTGTATGTGCCAATATGCTCATATTAGAACATTATATAGCATGAAATAATATTAACAGATTATTTCACTCAACAAAATGTATGGTTACCACAGTCATAAAACTATGGTAATTGTTTTAACTACAACTATCATAAAAAAAATTAATCATTTAGATTCTAATACTAAGATGATAATACATGATGTACAATAAATAATTGCTTTGGTAACATATTTACTTCCAAATTACAAAGTGAAACCGCTTTGCTTGCTCGTCACTGCATGATTTTTCCACTATTACAAAACTAATTTTTAAAAACCACCAAACTATAACATTGGTTGCAGTGTTGGGTAAGTTACTCTTAACAAAATATTAATGAATTACAAGCTACTAATTACATCTTCAAAAGTGCAATTACTGTACTAATTACTCTGTCTACAAAAAAAAAGTATTGCATTACTAATTAGCCAACTTTCTAAATCCTATATCAACCTCGACCAGTTGAACAATCAAGTATAAACATGAAACTGCTTTTAATTTTTCCAAATTAATTTCAAATGAATTGTTTTAATTCTTTCAAATAAATAATATAAAATTGCATAAACTATTCTTGAACTGTATTTGAAACATACATTAGAGTATTACAGTATGTAATGCTATCTATCTATCTATCTGAGGATTACAGTCTCTGTATAAAAAGTGTTTATATGAATGTTTACTGCCCTTTATGCCACCATCATTTTGAATAATTTCTCAAATCTTTCCAAGAAAATTAATAAAAATGCTATCTAAAAAGAAAGTTAATATATTAGTTTCACTACACGTTTTCACTCTGCATTTGAAGTTGACAGTAACGGCCCAGCAAACTGATCCTGATAGTAAACATGGGTCTTTCACATTCTGCACATGTGCTGGGGGGCAAAAATGGTACGGCCCGCCCAGTCAACGGTTTTTGGCACCGGCATCCTGATTCAAACTGCCCGGTTAATTGTCGATCCGTTTCATCGTTACCCAGCCAATGTAAGAGAGTTGTCGAGGAGAAATGCCCGCCGTGTGTGTGTCAGAGAACAGACGCCTCGCCCCTCTCGTTTTATACATACCGATTTCCACTCTCCCTTTCGTTTCGGTTTTGATGGTACGACCTGCGGACTACCAGCACGAACGAATCTTTAATGTGAGTCGGATCCTTTCAATGAATCAGTTGAACCGCTTCCCAAAACCGATGTGAGCGATTCGTTAAAGGGACAGTTCACCCAACAATGAAAGTTGTCTTCATTTACTCACCCTCGTCGCCTTTGGTTAATCTGCGAAACACAAATTAAGATATTTTGAATGAAACCTTTTCATTTACGAGGGCACTATCCCGGTTTGGACGTTTATTTGTATAAACGTTTTGTGTATGTTTCTATGATAAGGAAACATAAATGTTCCCCTATATAAACATAAATTTGTGTATGTTTCTAAACTGGGAAACATTAATTACAATAAACATTTCGTAATAAACGAGCCTAAGGAACGTTTTGGACGCCAGTGACCGTAATGACATAAAAGACTCGTTTGAGCTGTTTTTGACAAGAATTGTTCAAAAGAACCGAGTCGCATAAATGATTCGAACTTCCCATGACCAATTTACACACTCGGGCGCATTTTTTTTTTCATCGTGAGCCGGTCAAGATGGCGGCGGTACTGCCGAGACGGAGCAGCCGCTCGGCTTAACCGATCATTTTCTCTAATTCACCGGGGCAGATCGGATTCAAATCGTGCAGCGCAACTGTGTGAAAACACCCGCAGCCTGCGATATCCAACGTGAGATCCTGTCGCGTTAAACCCGGGTTTTATTTTTCACGGAAAATGCTCTTAGTCTAGTTTATGTGTCTCGTCCATTAGCTGTATTGGGGAGAATGGGAGAAAAGCTGGAGTTAAAACTGAAGTCGCCGGTCGGAGCCGAAGCTGCAGGCTACCCGTGGCCCTTACCTGTATATGTAAGTACTATCCGTCTTAATGTTTTAATATAAACCGAAACCAACACCGGGATTCCCTTGCGATAAAGCGAAGTGGGTCATGTAAGTTAACGTTAGTTAGAGAACAACGTGTATTAGTACGAGTGCATAATGTGTGAATATCTTGTGTTTTTTGTAGTGTGTTTATTTCAATATTAGTGTTTTAAGAACCAAGAGCCGCTTACAATTGGGACACGAGAGTGTCAATACATCCTAAAAGTGTTGAATATACCCTGAACGTATATATCTTCATAAAGGTGTTCGGAAGACCACTAAACATTAGATAGACTTGAAACGACATAGTCCGTTTTGTTTTAAAAAATATAAAATGTATTCTAACCTTAGCTAATATTAACATTTGAATCGCAGGAAATACACGCTGTGTGTAGCCTGCTGACCCAGTTGGCCATCTCGTACAGTGGCTGCGTCTCAAATCCTAGTAAGCTGTCTACTTAGGCAACATGTTTACGCTTGCTTGGCAGTTCTAACGCGATCAGACACGTAAATGATAACAAAATGACGTCTTTGTTGTGATTCAAATATTTTGAATTTGAATTATTTTCATTTATGTCCGTGACCCCTTTCTAGAGGTTATATTTATTATGCCAATTAACTTGGTTGACAAGTGAGTTTATTTTTGGATGTTACGAGCATTATTCACTGAACCGATTCTTTATACTAATACCGAAACAAGTCTTACGTCATTTACTAAAATATTATCATTTATTATATGCTTTAGTTGACTAAAACACGAGCGGTGGTTCGCTCACTAGGTAGGCAGCTCACTAGAGTTTGAGCCACAGCCGCTAAACAAAACCTGCCATAGCAGAGAGTTTGTGTAAAACACTTACCTCAGAAACGCAAGGTTATTGAGCAAACGGTTTAAACGTACATTAGTGCACGTATTAAGCCTGAAACGACAGTTTGTATGACTCTGTTTCCAAAGAATGTTACCGGGGGCTGAAATTCACGTTAGCCGTCATGCTAACAGTCAGATAGCAGGGCTAGCTAACTTTATTGCTTTCTACCAGCACTTACACTCGTCAAACTGTAGATAACTTAAACATTGTAAATATCTGCCATGAGTCCGTGTGTATGGAGAACTGTAGTGGATATATTAGGGTGAAATAAGCGTCGTGCCGGCTCAATATCACACGGAGGGTGTCAAACAAAAGGCGAGTAGTGCACTCAGGCGAGAGGACGGTATCTCCATATTGTTAGTGTTTTATTGACAGATAGCTGTGATTTGTGTCCCGTAACGGGTATCTTACAGTTTTTCACAGTTTCTTTTGAAGTATTGTGTACTGCTCTGGAAGTGTCAAATTTGTCACTGAGGTCTAAAAACGCGTTTGCTCATTTGGCAGCCCTTGCATTGGGATAGTGCTGTATTTCGGTTACCATCAGATCTGGATGCATCTTGAAAGGGACAGAGTGTCATAATGTAACCCGTATGGCTGACATTTCTTGAAAAACAAGCTAGTATGCAGGATTCTGTAGGAAGTTTGGCAATAACTGACTTTTTTAGTTGCTACTAGGGGGTTGTAAAGCCTGCTGGACTTGAATATTGGCTTTTTAAGTTAGCTTTCCAGCATATATGTTGTTGTTGAAGCTTGCTAACTATTATTATTATTATTATTATTACACACTGAATGGACTCCTAAGTATTAAATATTTGGTGCATTATTTATCTTGTACTGTTACTGTACTAAAAACACGAATGACACCTCATCTTTTTCTAAAGGCCAAAGTGTACCTTGTTTTTGTATGTGTGCTGTAAAGTTTCATCCTGATATGACCTCTAAAAATCTTTGTACTCGTTTAAACTAGAATTGGTTAATTTCTGAACCCCCTCATACAAGTGCAAGAGTCTGTTGTTGTTCTGTTTCTTTTTTGACTGTGAAACAACATTTAGCGTCCGTGTTGCCACCTTGTTGAACACAACTAATTGGGGGGGATGTAATGCATGAAGTCCGAAAAATCTCTGAGTGCTCACTGCAGAGCCAAATGGGTGGAGCTTGACCTAGTATAGTTCCGCCTCTGTCGGCCGAATGGATGTAGTTTTACCTAGTTATGTTTAGCGATTGGGTTATGTTTAAGGTTAGAGTGTGATTGGACCTTCAAGCTCCACCCATTATGTCCAGAGAGGTGGAGCTGTACATCAAGCCCCGCCCATTGGCTTACTTGTGAGCACCTTCTGAAAAATTGCGTACTATACTGATGTGAAATTACGTTACGTGTTGGGTACATGTGAAAACCTTGGACTTTTACGATCAGGCTTGTGGTCTTCAACCGGTAGAAGATAAAACTACAAAAAAAAAAAAAACCATAATTAGATTGAGAAACGGATTCTAGAGTTGCGAATATCATGGACACTTGATGGTAGGGGACTCTTAAACACTGTAGCAATGCCCTGGCAACCACCCAGAATGCCCTAGCATTTTGGTGACAAGCTGTTTTCCGCTTACATTTTCTTTTGAAAATGTATTCATCTAGTTTCTACGATTATTGAGCCCTAAATGGTGTCAAAAAGGCTTGTTTGGTGTCGTATCATCCGCTCTGAGTCAGACACTGTTCTTCTGTCTGTGTTGTTTCTGAAAGCATTGTACAGTCATTGCACATGTACAGTAATCACAACACACAGATTCCACGCTGTGATTAACTCCAGTGATGCTGAGCTGCTGAACCGGTTGACAGTGGGCCGAGACCCCCCATAAAACACACATATGCACTGCTATTTACCCTGTTATTGCAGGCAGTTTGAGTAGTATTTATGGTCTAAAAGATGAGGAAATGGCTTCATTTTCAGTGTAACTAAAGAAAAAACAAGACGGGGTATTTTATTTTAATATTTTATTACGAGAATGTGTTCGGAAAGTCCTCACGTCATCCGAAATTTCACATTTCTCACGCCACCAGAGTTGCCAACTCTGTTTCGGTCATAGACGGAAATAGGGGGGTGCTGATCAGAGCCTGTGGTTTCCACAGAAATGGCTGTCTCATTTGTCCTTCACAATGTTTAATATACTACGATTCATGTTCTTTTTACACAAACTGAGAATGTGGGTTTCTCAGAAGTATAGGTTTTCAGAGCTGCTGCATCACTGAAAACTCCAGTCTCTTTCATTTATGTCATTCAGGTTACAGTAGTAGTCGTGGCCTCAGTGGTTTTACTGTCTCGCTTGGCCTTGGATGACTTCCGTCGTTGACTTTGGCTGATAAGGGATGGATGCCCCACCTACTGAGAGCCATATTTCTGACCTGCTGTTGGGTGAACAGAATTACAGAGCGTACGCATTTGGCAAGCTTTAGACTTGCCTTGCAAATTTTTGTTTAGGGAGGGGCGGATTCTGTTAATTAGGAGTCTGGGCAGTGGTTATCCACATGCACTGGTGATTTAGACTTCCCTTAAAGGAAAAGTTAATTTGCATCATGCTCTTCAAAGCTTATATGACTAGCTTTCTTCTAAAGATCACAAAAAGAGATATTTGGCAGAATTTTCATGCTGCTTTTTTTCTGTACAGTGCAAGTGAATGGAGTTTTTTTTTTTTTTTTTTTTTAATATGCCTCTTGTGAGCCAGTGAATCAGAAATATACAGCATGACCAGTGTAACCTGATTCACAAACAAATGACTCTCATGAGCTGATTCTTTTTAGTGAATCATAAATATACAGAATGACCAGTGTAGTTTGATTCTTGAAAGAAATTATTCTTATGAGCTGTTTCTTGTTGCTAATTCAAACATATTCAGCACGACCAGTATAGTCCGATTACTGAAACAAATGCCTCTTATGAGCCGATTCTTATTAGTGAATCAAAAATGTACAGCGCAGCCATTGTAGTCTGATTCCCGAATAGAATGACTCGTATGAGCCATTTCTTTTTAGGGAATCAAGAACATACAACCAGGTTTTATTAATAAACAGTTCAAGAAGATGATTTGAATCTACCCTATATAATTTACAGCATTTGGAGAAAGAGAATTTCTTTCATATGTTATCAGAATGGACATTATAGCTGAACTGTACCAAATTGAATCAAGAGCTTGTGAATACCTTAACCTAGTCTTCATTCACGTTCATTATATGGAAAAGAGCAGCATACACATTCTACAAAACTTCTCCTTTTGTGCTTCTCCGAACAAATAAAGTCATAGGAGTTGCAAACATCATGCAAGTGAATAATTGATGACAAAAAGCTTATTTCTTGGGCGAGTTAACCCTTTAAACACCCCAGATGTGGAAAAAGAGGAGATGGGTGAGAAAGTAAAGTGCTATGTTTTCCTCTCCCTGCTTTAAAATATTTCTTGCTTTTATTCGAGGTGACTGTTTTACAAAGGCCCAAATGCCCTCCATTTATTCAAATCTTGTTTTTCAGAGACACAGCCGAGGGATATTTCCTCTCCCGCTGTCATATTGGCTGTTGCCGCTCCTCGTCCACTAGCGTGCCATTTTGCCTCATGGCTTCACATTGTGCTCCAGACAAAAGCATCCCACTTACCTGGGGTGGGAGGAAGGAGAGGGTTTTTAATCGAACACTGAGCTTTGAACTGTTTTCTTTCTTCCCTACGCTCTTGTAACCTACGTATCTGGCCACATTTACATCCTATATCTGGAAACTTAGATGGCCTGTAATTGCTTCCATATGAAAGCGTCATTTCCTTAAACTTGGCTACAAAATTATTCGTTTAGACTGAGGAATTATAATCAAACCAACCTAACAGTTTGAATGCTATGACCCGGTTAAACCCGTTAATACACAAAGGTGTGGCATTTCGCCGCCCTAGCCAAAACCAACAGTTGTGCAGTGAGGATGAGTGTTCACGAGGCGTGATTTTTTTCCACCTCTCTCCGTGAGTCACGTCAAGGGTGCATGAGGTGAGCGAAGAGTCCGTTTTTGTGCTTGTGAGACAAGCCTGCTCGTGACCGAGGGCTGTCGTGCTTTATTTTTTGCTCTCTGTCATCCTCCCCTCCTTTCCTCTGGATATTTTTAGCTGTGGTGTTGCTGTGCGTCGGGACACCCCGTACACATGCGCCGCTGCCCCCCCTCCTCTCGTGCAGCACGATGCGCTGAAGTGTCTGCTTGTGCACATACACACTCCGCCATCTGTCTTAGCGTTTGCATTAAACGCGATATTGAAATAACGCTGCATCCCTGGTTTAAATAAGTGCCCTTGTTTGCCTCAGACTATGGCTGCATTATTTCCCAGTGCTGTGACGCTGCCTTGGTGCTGCAGGGGTGGGTGGAAGAACACGAGATTCGCCGTATGTGCAGCTGAGCGGGAAAACAGCTAGGAGGAGCTTAGCGAGGCAGAGGAGCCCAGCAGCGGCACACTCAGGCAGGCAGAGGGCTTCTCAGGACTCTGTTGACGGAAAGTGGGTCACTGGGTCAGGCAGCAGCAGAGCTCCAGCGGCAGGATGGATAGAGCTCGGCGGGGTCACATCCACATGTTAGACACAATCCAGGGTTAATTAGCCTCGATAATTATACATATTGACCTCTGAGCCTTGTTTATGTTTAAAGCAGTTTTGATAATTACAATAAAATGTAAATATTAGACGAAAAGTAGAAATGTTTCTATTAACTGAAATGAGTTACTAAAACTGAAATAAATTAATGCAAAATAAATCCTTGTTAATGTTTAACATACCAATTTTGGTAAATGAAATAAAATAATACAATAATGAAAAACTTGAACTTAAAAAAAAAACTTATTCCAATTAGTTGCAACAATTGTATTTTTTGTTTAAGTTGAAGTACTAAAATTACTAACACTAAAATTAAAATAAATTGTATATAAATATTAGTAATTAATGATAAAAATACAGAAAAATAATACAACTAACAAAAGCACATAAAATGACTACAATTAAAATTAACACGGGAAAAAGAAACACAAACTGATTAAAAATATTAATATAAATATAAATACTACAATAGTATATAAATTATACCAAAATAAGACTGACATACCACTCAGTGAAAACAAACTAAAATAAAAATGAGAAATGGAAATATAAAAATAAAAACTACATGAAAATATTAAGAAATGCTACAATAGTATATAAATAATACTTAAATAGCTCTGTAACATTTGAATCACACTTCTTTTTACTTTTGTCAATAGGGCCCATTTTCTTTTGCACACCCGATGTTTATTCTAAAATACTGTAGATTATACTGTGCATTCGTATACTGTAACGCACAGGATCAGTGACGGCTTATAGTGCCATAATGTACTTATCCGGCCATGTATGCACAATAAACTTGTTCACCTGCTTGAAGGCACACTGGCTGCTGTGTGTGCAGGAATGTGCTACAGTTGTGATCCGTGACCCATCACAAACTGAAAGGGTCAAGTTTCTGTTGTAGTCGTAGAAACTTGTTTCATGCAGATAAAGTTTTTATAAATAATGAATATTATATAAGCATTGGTATTTCATTGAAAGGAGGACCATGTTCTTGTTTCTTTATGAGAAGTGGTTTTATTTAATTTCAATATAAAGGTATGTTGTGTGTCACAGCAGTTAAATCTGTGTCTATATTACATGATAAAACCTTAATATCAAACCTATACAGTATGAGTTTGGACATTATGGAGAAATGATTAATAAATGCATTACACTAACTAAACCCATTAGATTTTAGCCAATTAAATCTACTGTAGATTGAAGCTAGTGTTATACTTTCTGCGTGCGCAAGGGTCCGCGTGACATAAAAATCGTCATCGGAGGGTGTACGCAGAGGCTCTTTGCGGACATCTGCGTGCCTCCCATTTTGTGTGACTGCGTGGACAAGTACGCTCGGTCACTCTGCTACAAAAGCACCAACTGCCCATGTGCTGGAAAAACAGCATGGATGTCGAATTTGAAGAAAGGCTGTGTGAAGAAGTCCGTCGATACCCGCACCTCTACAATCCGTTGATAAAACAATATAAAGACCGCCAGATGTGCAATAACTCATGGAGGGAAATTGCCCATGTTTGTTTACTGTTCAAGCCGGTCTAATGTGCATGTGTCGAACAGCGGACCCCAGCATACACTTTCAGTAGTATAAATACAAGTAGTCCGCAGCTGTACGTGTCCAAACTGGAGTATAACCGCGCCTTTAGGCGACTAAAATCTTAAGATATTTAGTTGACTAAAACAATTCAGATGTCTAAAATATTAACAATTAACACTGGATAATAGGGCTGGGAAAATAATAATGCATCGCGAATCGAGAAATGATTCCGCATCGATTCTGAGATTTCCCGAATGCATCGCGATTCTTTCTCGAGTCGATTCTGAGCTTAGTTTTGAACAGCAGATGGCGCTGCCGGCTTTAGAAACAGCCGTACTCTGCTTGTTTCCAAATCCTTACACACACTGAACCTAAAATAATCATTCATAAAATTCGAAAAGGTTGAAGCGAATTACAAGGGTGTTCACAGTGGGCTGTGTTTACATTAATCTGGCGTCATAAAAGCATTCTGAAGCGAGGTGAAATTACAGACTTAGCCGAACTCTTCAGCGCTCTTCTTCATGAGCATTTGAGTGTGCGGATAAAAACTAGATTAGAGCGCCATCTTCTGTTAAAATCTAAGCTCAGAATTGATTCCAGAGAGAATCGCGATTTATCGTCGCAGCCCGACTGGATAGATAACTACATGTCACTTGCCGAATGAGTGGTCTGGCGAGTAAGTAAAACATTAATTGTGGACTTTGCTTATACACAGCATTTCTTTCCTTCTCCCCAGGATAAACATCATGATGCTGCACATGAAATCATCGAAACCATTCGGTAAGTCTTTGACAAGTCTTTTGGTTTGATTTTGCTGTTATGTTTGACTGCTCTGTGAGTTTTATGTGCATAATAGGTATATTATCAATTTAAAACTTGACCTCTCTCTTCTCTTTGTCCAGCTGGGTGTGTGAAGAGATCCCAGATCTTAAGCTGGCCATGGAGAACTACGTTCTTATTGACTACGACACCAAGAGGTGAGGAAATTGTCGCAAAATGGTCTCATAAGATAGGGTTGATTAGGTGTCATTGAAAAATAAAGCCTAAAAATAAATTAATAATAATATTAATACTACTACTACTAATATTATTATTATTAAGAATATATTTAATTGCTTAATTATAATAATAATTTATTGTTGTTTTTAATAATTATTAATTATATTTTTTTATTTAAATATAAATGTATTAATTATTTATTATTATTGTTATTAAAAGTGGCAGTTGTACATGCTAATAAAAGAATGTAATGCAATGCTATTTTTGTGAAAGATATTAAATGAAAAAAAGCTTCACAGAATAAATTTAACTAAATATTTTATTGTATTAATATAATAATAACTGGTTTAATAATGTATTTTTAAATTATATAGGATTAATTGTATTATGATTGATCATATATTTATTTGTACTTTTGGATACTAGTTTTGTGAAAGTCGGTATTATGAAATGACAAGCTTCACAGAATATTACGAATTAAATATTTCTAATTACACTCTTAATTTCAAAATTAGAATATTTAATAAGTATCACGCATCAATTTATTAGTTGTTGTTTGATTACTAGTTTTATGTAAGTAGATATTATGAAATAACAAGCTTCACAGAATATTAAAATAAATTATTATTTATTACTGTTTAATTTATTATTTTATTATATATTGTTTAATAGAATGATCATGAATGATTTATTTGTAATTTTGGGGAAGTCGTGGCCTAATGGTTAGAGAGTCGGACTCATAACCCAAAGGTTGTGGGTTCGAGTCTCGTACCGGCAGGGATTGTAGGTGGGGGGAGTGAATGTACAGCGCTCTCTCCCACCTTCAATACCACGACTGAGGTGCCCTTGAGCAAGGCACCGAACCCCCAACTGCTCCCCGGGCGCCGCAGCATAAATGGCTGCCCACTGCTCCGGGTGTGTGTTCACGGTGTGTGTGTGTTCACTGCTGTGTGTGTGCACTTTGGATGGGTAAATGCAGAGCACTAATTCCGAGTATGGGTCACCATACTTGGCCACATGTCACGTCACTTCACTTTAAAAGTTGAAATGATGAAATGACAAAAGTTTCACAAAATATTACAAGTTAAATATTTCTAACTTATTTCTACTTAATTTTAAATATATTAAATATTTAATGGAAGCGTGATGAATCATTGTTTTTATTATATGCAGTACAAATAGGATATATTAGCCTGGATATATTGCTGCTTTTTTTCTTTTCTTGTATCTGAGCACTAGCCTAGTTTACAAGTTTATTATGAGATGATAATAGATTTCATAGATAATCATTTATTTTTGTGTTTTCTTGCAGCTTTGAGAGTATGCAGAGACTGTGTGATAAGTACAACAGAGCCATTGACAGCATTCACCAACTGGTACGTCAAGTCTTTCTTGTGGACCACAGATTTTTTTTTTTTTTTTACCTCAAACAACGTGTAAAATTTTGTGTTTGTGTGTTGCAGTGGAAAGGGACCACCCAACCCATGAAACTGAACAAGCGGCCTTCCAAAGGCCTGCTGCGTCACATCCTGCAGCAGGTCTACAACCACTCCGTCACCGACCCAGAGAAACTCAACAACTACGAGCCGTTCTCTCCTGAGGTGTACGGAGAGACCTCTTTCGACCTGGTGGCTCAGATCATTAATGAGATGGAGATGATGGAAGAGGACACCTTTGTGGATCTGGGCAGTGGTCAGTATGTTATTGAAGGCCTTTTCAATGGTGGCTCTGAAGTGCAAGTGAATTTCACAAATCAGAAAACTCAACCGTAAATTGAAAAAGCACTGCAAATTTGCTGCCATAATTGGTTTAAACAAGTCTTGATTAGTGATATAAGATTGAAAGTGCATCAAAAATGCACAGCTAATCGGAAAACTCGAGAAAATTCATGACTATAATTGATATAAACAGATCTTTACTATCAGTTTAAGAGTGAATTTCCAATAAAACACCACAGCAATTTGGAAAACGCAAACGCGAACTGGAAGACACAAAAGCAAATTCAATACTATTATTGGTATAAAGTAGCAGTTTAACATTGAAAGTCCAATAAAAATGCAACCGCGAGTCAGAAAACGCAATAGCGAATTCAGTGCCATAATTGGTATAAACAGCCCTTGAGTTGCAGTTTAAAGACAGGGTAGGTGATTTGGATCAAAAACATTTTTGTTATGCTGGTTGAAAGTCTCTTCACATCCTGATAGCAATCACAAGTTAAGTGGTCTAAATGTATTTATATCGTCTGTGGAAGGTGTAGGACCGTAAAATGTTTGTCTAATCATATTCCTCGGTCCAAGGGCTATGATAGGCTGTCCTACTTGCCTGTCAACATATATATTTGCATACCTCTGCCCACCCTGTTCGTGCAGACATGATACATCATCAGCTCGTTCCGTTATGCTTTTGCGGACTGAGTGCGAATGGAAGGGTTATTATTGTTTTGGAGGAGGCGTGGCTTTGGAGAGTGATTTGCAGGGAGGGTGGGATCTTATGCTTTCAAAGCTAGCTTGCTATTGCCAACCTCTCAGAAATTGCCTACCCTGACTTTAAGATAATAAAAATAGAAGAGCGCATTGGAAAACGCAACTGGGAATCAGAAAATGCAACTGCGTCTATTCGTCTTAACAGGCTCTGAGTGGGAGTTTTAAGAGTGAAAGTCCAATAAAATGCAAGAGCTAATCAGAAAACACAACTCAGAAAATTCACTGCCATGTAAACAGATCTTGATTACCAATTTAAGACTGAAAGATCTTTATATGACATACAGTGTCATCTTTGCTTGATTTACAGGAGTTGGTCAGGTAGTCCTGCAAGTCGCTGCAGCCACCAGCTGTAAACACTACTATGGCGTGGAGAAAGCAGACACTCCAGCAACCTATGCAGAGGTACCAACAGGAAGCCAACATTAAATGCTCCTTATACACGCCAACTTCTCGAGTCTGCATCAAAGTGTACGTTTTGCACTAATATTTATGTCTGAATGTGTTTACAGTCAATGGACAGGGAGTTTAAGAGATGGATGAAGTGGTATGGCAAAAAACATGGCGAGTACACGGTAAGTGTGTGTTCATTTATCACAGCAGATGTTATCACTTATGAAAACCTCATTATTGTGACTGAAGGGATGAAATCTGTGCATACTGATGTTGTTTGGTCTTGTGTGGCAGCTGGAAAGGGGAGATTTCCTTTCAGAAGAATGGAGGGAACGAATAGCCAACACAAGGTATGATCACATACAGACTATTTAGATGCACATAACCAGTTAGCATTTTCCAGATCCATGCGTTTTTTTGATTTTTATCATAATTTCTTCATGTTGCTTATATGTCTTGTATAAGTCTGTAGTGTGATGTGCTCTTTTACAGTGTTATTTTTGTGAATAACTTTGCCTTTGGTCCTGAGGTGGACCACCAGCTGAAGGAACGATTTGCCAATATGAAGGAAGGTACGTGGTGTTTCCATGTAATTTTATTTGCGTTAAATATTTTTAATCGATTCAAATCACAAAATTTGTCGAAATAATCACATTTGACCATTTTGTGCAGCCCTAACATGAAGTAAATAGCACTTAGCTGCTAATGTTTTAGTGATTAGTGTCAGTGTAGCTTGTAGGCACCTGTGTCAACATGTTATTCTTGACCTTTGACCCCAGTCAGTCTTGTTTTTTGATTCGCATTGATCTGCAGATGTTGGGATGATATGTGCTTAGGTTTTCTCCTCTCTATGTTACTTGGGAGTGTTTTGACTCCATTTCGTCTCTTGTAGGTGGAAAAATTGTATCCTCAAAACTTTTTGCACCTCTTAACTTCAGAATAAACAGCCGAAACTTGAGTGGTAAGTATAAAACTTTGTAGGTTTCTCTTGCAAAAAGATGGAACCATACAATAACTGTCATGGTAGTTGGTCATGGTCATTCTGATAGTGTGGAAAAGTTGGTCATACATCTCAAAGCTATTGACTTTTCGTGTGAAAATTTTGGCGGCAAAAATTGTCATTATTGTAGTGATGTATGAAGCACTGCTCCCTCAAAAGTCAAACCAAGCAGCGTTCTGTTGGCCATTTGCGTGAAAAACCTGAACTCTATGCAAAATCTGCGTAGAGAGGAGTTTCGCCCTTACGCGAAATTCCCAATTATACAGATTCGTACTGAAAAGACTGGGTTTCGAAATTTTGCAGAGCAAAGGTAAATATGACCAAACCTTTCCAGTGTTTAATGGTCTTTGTGTTTCTTTTTTAAGATATTGGCACAATAATGAGAGTAGTTGAGCTGTCCCCTCTGAGGGGATCGGTGTCATGGACGGGGAAGCCAGTGTCGTACTATCTGCATACAATAGACCGCACCATAGTAAGTGCCCTTTCATTTGTGTCACATGGGTTTTGCCGTTCCTCTCTGTGTACAATGGGTCTCTGATTTGCATTAGCCTTCACTGTTAGGCAAAAGACATTGAGTGTGGCTTTCTCATGTCACGCAGTCGTCCAAAAAGAGACTTCTTTGAGCAGTGACTTTCACGTGTATGTAGATTTATTACATATTTATCTAACCAAACGCTTTTTCTTTTTGCAGCTTGAAAACTATTTTTCTAGTCTCAAAAATCCTAAACTCAGGGTAAGACTTGTTTGATCCTCATGTTGTTTATGGGTTTTTGGACAAAATATCAAGTTATATCTCTTCCCGCAACACATGTGGCTTGTTTTTGTTTCCAGGAGGAGCAGGAGGCAGCCAGAAGGCGCCAGCAGAAGGACAGTAAGGAGAATAAGAGCAACACCGTGTGTGTGTATATATATATATATATACACACACACACACGTGTGTGTCAATTTATTTCATTTTAAATTATTTATATTTGTTTCATTTTTATTCATTTTACATTTATCTATTTATAAATTTGTTTTAAATTTACATATGAATACATTTATTTGTTTTAAATTATTAATCATATATGGAATCACTCATTATGTTTATTCATTTATGTATTTATCTATTAAAAGTTTATACATTTTAAATGTATTTTAAATGTACATATTAAATTATTTAACATTTAGTTTATTTTATTTTTTTATCATATTAATGAAATATCTCTTTATCCTTGTGCACCAGACACAGCATGATTTTGGTGGTGAGGAGAAGCGTTCCAACTCGCTCGTGCCAGTGAAACCGTCACCGAAACCCCGCCGGGCCAAACTGCTGCCTAGGGGCCGCAAGCTAGGCAACAGGAAGCGTGGGCGGCCTAAGAAGGCTGCTGCTGCCACTGCAGCCAAGCGCAAGAACAAGAAGAGCCAGAGCGCCCTTGATCTGCTTCACGCTAAGACCCTCTCAGCGGCCCCCCATCAGGGTGAGACAATTACTTAAAACTAGGGCTGGACAAGTTAACGCGTTATCGCGTTAACGCATTAATTACTTAACGCCGACAATTATTTATCACGCGTTAACGCAGTTTTTATTATTATTATTACTATTATTATTATTTTGAAAGTCCGTTGCACACTGGCTCTGAATACACATACAGACAAACCATGGGTCACAGGAGGGGTGGGATGTTGATCAGTACTGGTTTGGGATGGGCATCATCATGCGTCTCAACCAATGATAGCATTTGGGGTGGGTCTAACACAGTGTACACCGGAAGCGAGTGGCGCGACCCAACAAAATAGCCTACTATAGAACCTATTATAATCAGTGATGCTGTCTACACTGGATGCGGTGCGACACGACAAATCCCCGACAGTAAACTACTGCCTCTTTCTATTTATGATGTGCTGACACAAAATCCAGTGTAGACAGACTTTAGCTGTTGCGGGCGACAACTGTAACATCCGGTGTGGACACGCAACCCCTTATTTACACTGCACGCGTCTGCTGCGTTACAGCTCCGGCGAGGTTTTGTTCTGTCCTCCACGCGGTGCCAACTCACACCAGGAGCATTTCGGAAGCAAAGCGACAGGATTCACAAGACCATGTGATTTTTCCTGTCTGATGTTGTTTGTCTTGATTATTCGTGTTCTATCATGGCTAAGTTGGCTAAATGTTTGTGTTTTGTCTAGGGATGCTACGATTCCATTTTTTCAGATCCGATCCGATACAAGGTAGACCTACAGGAATCGCTGATTTAATTTTTATTTTATTAGTTTTTATTATTAGTTAATTAGTTAATTGTATTTATTTTAATTGTATATATTTTAAATGCATTTTTATACATTTATTTCAAGCTTATCTATTTGAACATTTATGAATTTATTTTAAAATGTTATCTATTTTAAAGTTTCTTTTCTGTCTCTCTCTCTCTCTCTCTCTATATATATATATACAGGTGCATCTCAATAAATTAGAATGTCATGGAAAAGTTAATTTATTTCAGTAATTCAACACTGGCTCTGAATACACATACAGACAAACCATGGGTCACAGGAGGGGTGGGATGTTGATCAGTACTGGTTTGGGATGGGCATCATCATGCGTCTCAACCAATGATAGCATTTGGGGTGGGTCTAACACAGTGTACACCGGAAGCGAGTGGCGCGACCCAACAAAATAGCCTACTATAGAACCTATTATAATCAGTGATGCTGTCTACACTGGATGCGGTGCGACACGACAAATCCCCGACAGTAAATTGCTGACTCGTTCTATTTATAACGTACTGACACAACGTTCAAATGATTTGCAATGCTTTGTCGCGTCCAGTGCAAAAACATGGTGAGTGTGTAGAAAAGAAAAGTGGACACGGAAAATAGATGATTCAAATGTGAACGGACTGAACAGTTTTGAGTGAGTGAGTGACTGATATCTTTGTTATGGAATACACGTGTTGGTTCGCAGTGACTTCAGTTTTAACGTACAAGTTTGCTTTAATTTATTTTCAAGATCTGAGGTAAAATATCTATTGTTGCGTTCACCCCGACAGTAAACTACTGCCTCTTTCTATTTATGATGTGCTGACACAAAATCCAGTGTAGACAGACTTTAGCTGTTGCGGGCGACAACTGTAACATCCGGTGTGGACACGCAACCCCTTATTTACACTGCACGCGTCTGCTGCGTTACAGCTCCGGCGAGGTTTTGTTCTGTCCTCCACGCGGTGCCAACTCACACCAGGAGCATTTCGGAAGCAAAGCGACAGGATTCACAAGACCATGTGATTTTTCCTGTCTGATGTTGTTTGTCTTGATTATTCGTGTTCTATCATGGCTAAGTTGGCTAAATGTTTGTGTTTTGTCTAGGGATGCTACGATTCCATTTTTTCAGATCCGATCCGATCCAGAAAATTCTGAGTATCGGCCAATTCCGATCCGATACCAGCGCAATTTTTTTTTTTTTTTTTTTTTTTTTTTTTTTTATCATAGGTGTAAAAGAGGGGTCCTATCTATCATATGTTGCTGCCTCCATTACTGTGCTATACATTAGATTATTAATAGCCTTATAGGACAGACCAAGAAATGCTATAAATAATCCTTCATTGCACAAAAGTATTATATAATACGAAAAGCTCCAATACAGAGCGGCACAAAGCGCTTATGCGCATCCCATGTGCAGAATGATGCGCTTGAAGCAACACGGAGTCACAGCGTGCAGTGACTCCGTGTTGGAAAGGAAAGAGATATTGATGCGTAGTTTATTAAATCTGTGCGATAGTATATTGAGCCTTTTCTTTTGACAGTTTTAAATCTCAGTTATTGTGCGCTCTTGGAGAGAGTTTCATCGTCTTGACTGTCGTAACCAAACGCGACACGCCGTTTGAATGCTGAATGGAGGTTGACAGACAGCCGCAGCGGGGAGAAGAGTTTACGTCAACTTGAATATTCATCTGTACCTCACACTGAACTATGGAACAGCTTCAGAACACTTGGACTTTGACTTTATGGTGCTTTATAATGTGTTTGTGCTTTCGTGGGGCTTAACAATAACACAGAATAGTATAAGCACAATATCGGATTTGGATCGGTTAGTCTGACCGATACTCGATCCGGCAGAAAATGCCATTATCGGAGCCGATACCGATCCCGAGTATCGGATTGATGCATCCCTAGTTTTGTAGGGATCTCTCCCTTCTTGTAGCGTATCTCTCTTTCGACAAATCCCCGAGAGTAAACTGCTGCCTCTTTCTATTTATGATGTGCTGACACAAAATCCAGTGTAGACAGACTTTAGCTGTTGCGGGCGACAACTGTCACATCCGGTGTGGACACGGTGCAACCCCTTATTTACACTGCACGCGTCTGCCGCGTTACAGCTCCTGCAGCGTCTGCCGCGTTTTTGTCCAGTTTAATTCTGTTTATAGTTGTATTTATTGCTATGTCCTATTTTGTTGTGCTGTACACTACAAAGTTAATACAATTTAAAAGTCCAGTTATGAACGACTAGGATAAATGATTTGTAGCTCCGTATAGTCGTCTAAAACACGTCCTCAATTATTTTGTATCTACATTTCACATACCATTTCTGGCCTCCTGGCAAGGATATAGTGATGTGAAATATGATCGGGAGTCTGCGCAGGGTGTTTATTTTGACATTGACAGGATTTTTGGACTTTTATTTTGTTTCTACTGTGCGGCTTGGATGCGGCGTCCGTCAAAAATAGGCGAACATTCTTATGATCGCAACGAATCAGCCTCCCTCAAGACGCCCCATCACAAGAAGAATACATGAATTGTATGAAAAGGAGATTTTAATTTGATTACATTAATGTTAAAGTTGAGATTTACAATTCATTATTGAATTTTGTGCATAATAATGTGATTAATCGTGATTAATCGCAGAAAAATCATGCGGTTAAAAAAATTTAATCATTGCCCAGCACTACTTAAAACCATCACGTCTTTGCTGGCTATTTAACAGCATCAGTACCTTTGACATTGACTTTTGTGGTTTGGATCAATCCACAGATGCATACAGGTCACCACAGAGTCCGTTCTATCAGCTACCTCCCAAAGTGCAGCATTATACATCGAGCCAGCTTCTCATGGGCAACACTCCACCAGGCCTGCAGGCTCTTCTCGGTAAGTTCACTCAGCCTCACTTGTGCCTGCTCTCCTTCCATATTTAGCATGAGGAGATCCCTTTCAGTCCCACAGACATGCTAATGTATCTGCTCTAGTTTCATAGTCAGTCACCCAGTTAACGTAAACCTTCTTGCTTTTGCTCTAGATAATGTGAAAGTCCAGTACCTGCAGTTCATGGCCTACATGAAGACACCACAGTACCGTACCAGCCTGCAGCAAGCCCTTGAGCAGGAAAAGGTGAATCTTGTCTCCTAGTGTGTATATATTATTAATAATGATAAACATTATTAATAACAGTAAACTAAAACAAGTATTATAAATGAATTAATCAAGTAATATATAATATAAAACAAGTAGTGTGTGTATGTATGTATGTGTGTGTGTGTATATTTTTTATTTTATTACATTACATTTTATTTAAAATTATTTTAAAATAATTGTTTAATAATAATACTACTAGTAGTAGAATTAATACATTGAGAAAACAAAATATTTGTGTATATATTTAAATATATAATTATTTTTATTTATACATTTTTTAAAATTATATTTTACTTTATCATATATAATATTTAATATATATATAACTAATAAAAAGAAAAACTAAACATTTTTAAATCATGTCTTTTTTTTTATTTGTGAATTTTCATTTTATAAATATAAATGTAAATTATATTGTAACTTAAGTAATTAGCAACATTTTATTGGTTTTGTCATAACATTATTGTTTAACTTTTCTCTCCCCCTGTTTTTTTGTGACAGCTGAGACACACAGAACTGTCCGGTCAAGCACAGCAGCTGCTCAACGTTTGTCATGCTCATAAGGAGAGGATCAGAGACCTTTTCCAGTCCAAACTGGAGGAGGTAAGACTTGTTTCACAACCTAGTGAGCTACCTAGACAACACTTTCAGATCAGTGATATGTAGGCATCGTGCTGAATGTAAACCCTCTGCTGCCTCTCTTACAGCTGGGCTTGAAGGCGGTGACTGTGGAGGACCTAGTACAAGCTCAGAAGGAGATCACAGCCCACAACATACAGCTGAGGGAGCAGACCAAACAGCTGGAGAGGGACATGGCGGAGCTCCGAGATCAGAGCCTGGTGCTGGTAAGTGATCCACAATAAACCATCATAGCATGCCTCAACAGAGCAGAAGGATACTTTTGATTCAGAAAGGAAAGGTTTGTTTGGCAGAAGTGGAACTGAATGCCCATTGCACATATGTTTGTGTGTTTGTCAGCTGAAGGCTCGGTGTGAGGAGCTCAAGCTGGACTGGGGATCTCTGTGTTTGGAGACTCTTTTGAAAGAGAAAGCGGCTCTGCGAAGACAAATCTCAGAGAAACAGCGCCACTGTCTGGAGCTCCAGGTACCTGCATGCACATTTTTCTCAGTCAGCTCAAGAGCTAATATGGCATTGCAGACTTGTTTTACATCTGATTCTGTGGCATGCTAATCCTGGCCTTTAATAATTTCCTGTTTCTCCACTACTAATAACAGAAGGTAAACCCTACCAAGATGCACTAGGATGACAGCCACACAGATTTTTTTTGTTGTAACTCTCATAGTTGGAAATCATCTTGCATGTGTACTTATCATTTTATAACCAATTATATGCCGGATTGGTTAAAAAAGCTTTAAAAAAATCTGTACATGTGTCCATATTAAGTAGATTTCAGTTATTGTTGTTGTATGGGTCAGTTGTTTTTTAATCCAGATCTATTTATACTTTATTATAAACATTACTTAATCATCACAGTTAATCATTTTTGTTTCATAGATTTAAGTAGATTTCAGTTATTTCAATTGCACTTAAAAAAACTCAGATCTGTTGATATATTATAAATGTTATTTATAGTTCATAATTGTTAATAATTATAATATTTAAAATGTACAGCCTGCATCCCAGCAAAATGTGTATTTTATATACAATGTAATTATTAATGATAGTAGTATTCATAAATTAATAATAAAACATTATTTATGTATATTTATGTAATTATTTTATTTGAATTATTTTCAGGTTTATCAGGTGTTTTAAAAAAAAGTTAAGTGTTATAGATTATTTTAAGTAGTTTTCCCCCCTTTCTTTATCTTTTATTTTTCTTGTCATTGTCTTGTTTGTAAATGTTCTGACAAAAGCTTGATTACAGAAAACTGAACCAGCTCCTACAGGGATATTTTTACCTTGAGCAGTGTGGGTTGGCTCTGTCTATGTTTACAGCAACGGCTCCCCCTGGTGTTTCTTTGCAGATCAGTATCGTTGAACTAGAGAAGAGCCAGAGGCAGCAAGAGCTCCTGCAGCTGAAGTCTTACAACCCGTGTGAGGAGTCCCCCTACCAAAAGGCCCTCCCTGGCCCAGAGCCCCGGCCCACACTGGATTCCGACACCCCCAAACTCAATCCACAAGCTTCTGTGGGGCTCAACGGCCTCAGCCCTGAGCTATCCATCAATGGTACAACCTCGATGGGTTACGAGAGAGGCAGTGGCAGCGGAATGGGCAAAAACGAGCTCCTCACCCGCTACCTGCCCATATCCCCTGACCACGAAATTGTGCCGCCCACCCCAGACTCAAGAACCAGGCAGCTAGGGCAACCCCTGCCTGACTACACCCGTTTTTCTCCTGCCAAGATCGCCCTCCGCAGGCACCTCAACCAAGATTCGGCTGCCAATCAGTTTAGAGCCCTTGGCAACATCCACCGGTGAGTAAAATGAACACATTTAGTTGACTAAGTGCTTGTTGATTGGTCACTGATCACTCACGGCTCTTTTCAGGGGCGACAATGGGGCTGTTTCATCTCCAACTCTGGGATTAAAACAGTCTTACTCCTCACCCAGTTCAACTGATATTCTAGCAACCACCACACCCAAGAGCACAGATAAGGAAAAGAGCCCGACTGCCCCCGGCGACACTATAACTAGTCTACCAATCAGCATCCCCCTCAGCACTGTGCATCCAAGCAAACTTCCTGTCAGCATCCCACTGGCCAGCGTGGTGCTGCCAAACCGTGCAGAAAGACTGGTACGAATCTGTGTGAGCAGCAGTCATGGTATACAGTCTTGTGGGTGTTTTCTGCAATTATTCAAGTTGTGGTTTTCTTTTGGCAGAGGAGCACTCCTAGTCCAGTTTCGAATCCAGCAGGACAGAGCAATGGCAAGCCACCTCTCACGCCTACCTCGGGTACAGTCCTACTTTGGCCTGCTTTGTTTGTCGTAGATTAAGCTATTTATTTTCTAAATGCATGTTAATAACATTATTATTGTTCCTTTTTAGAAATAAATAATTCTGTTTAAAAGTGACCACAATTTAATCAAGTCTTTTCAAAAATCCTGAAAAGTGTCGGTTTTTTATCAGGTAAAAATTGTGAACAAAAGGAAAAGGCTTGTAAATTCATTGGTTAAAAAAAAGAACCATCCACTCTTAAAACATCTGGAATTCTGAAATTTAATTCACAGAACCAGCCAGTGTCCATACGTTAAAAAACTTTTGCATATTGTTGTAGACATTGGGGGGCCTTTGAGCCAGAAAGAGTTGAGAACCTCTAATCTAATCTAACATCATCCATCCATGTTGTTTACATACTTGAGTACTATACTAAATCCAAAATCCGCTTCCTCTTAGGGTACTCCTCCAGCTCAGGATTGGTGAATGGCTCTCACTCCGCCATGCTGACCGAGGACCAAGACTGTGACGCTGCATCCCCTCCCCCTTACTGCACTCCCATCATGGGCCTCCAGCCTCGCGGCTCTGGCCTCAGTCCTGCGCTGGGCACTGGAGGCGTGCTGCAGTACGCCGATGGCCCACCGAGGCTTCCCCCCGAGGACGGCCATGATCGCCATGGCCCCGAATCCGACACTGAGCCCTTGGACAGTGAGGCTAGTCGGCGTATCTTTTTTTCTTCATCCTCTTCTTCTTCCTCATCTTCGTCCTCCACGGGAGGCTCAAGGCTCCACCACGGGTCGGTAAAGCAGGGTCATCATAATCACAGTAAGCACCATCACCACCACCACCACCATCATCATCACTCTCCGAGCTCCCACAGCCAAGAGGGGCGGAAACGAGGGAGGCGGAAGCGCAGCTCATCTGGGGCCGTTCCCATTAGTGGATCCCCCAAAAGAAGGGCATTTCCGGGACTTGGCTGCTCAAGCCATTCTTCTGGATCACCGCTCAATATTAATTCAATGGTGAGCAGACTAAAAATGGCGGCTGTTAGTATTGCTCAAACTTACGATTGGCCTGAAATCAGACCCAAAATGTTTGTTCATTAACCAGGTGAACAACATAAACCAACCTTTGGAGATCTCCGCCATCTCTTCCCCAGAGCAGTCAGGACGAAGCCCGTGCGGGACAGATCTAGATCAGCCTCCCGTGCTTAAAAGAGAGCGTCCCCAGGAGCTCAACAACACAGGTCGTTATTCCTCCACCCCTAGTTCAGATGAAGAGGACACCAATTATGCCCCGGACACCTCTAGTTCAAGCCGGTAGTAGCTCTTTTCTTTCAAATCCAGTTCGTTGGTGTTTAAACTTTGCAGATCATCGAAAATATGGTTGATTGTTTTGATGGATTGACTGTTTTCTCTTACAGAATTGAACGGAAAATCGCCACCATTTCCTTAGATCGAGACGGACCTATCAGAGATGTGGAAAGGGGTAAGTGCGGTGGATTTTGGCTTATGGACATTTCACGTTTGACTCCACTAGCTATTTGTCATGGAATGTGGCATTTTACAGGCTTGCAAGGACGTAAATCAGGTGCCAGTAGCGTGAGCAGTGATGTATCATCTTCCTCCGGAGCCAGCAAGTGGAAATCCACCTTCTCCCCAATCTCTGACCCCAAGCCAACTCCTCCGGATAGCCACCAGGGTGGCTCGCCATTCAGTGTGGGGGCTTCCCGATGCGGTACAGACTCCGACTCGGACCAGAAACCGCAGAGGAGAGGGGAATGTGAGCATGATCCTTACGGGAACTCAAACCTCTTCCTCAGTCAGGATGGCAGTGGTCGCTCGGTCGTCAACACGTTGGAGCGGCCGCTGCAGAAACCGAAATCGCGGGAGTGGGACCTGAAATCTATAAGTGGATTGGCCAGCCAGAACCTCTTTATATCCGCTGCGGCCAGTGGAGGCATCTTGGGTGGGGCCTCCACAGTTTCCTCCTCCGCCTCAGTGGGACAGTACTTCCCCCTGGGTGGGGCTTCAGTTCTCCAGTCCTTATTTGGAGCTCAGACACCTGGACCAACCACCAGCGGAGCCCCTCGGTTGGTCAACGGACATTCGGCGCTCAGCAGTTTCTCCAGCGCTGGGCTGGCAGGGGGCGCTGCAGGAGGTGAGTTGGATATTTTCTGTCTTGTTTTTCTGTTTTCCTGTGAATACTGAGCTCATGGTCAGAACAGTCGCTCGAGTGTAGAGAAAAGGTAAGTTAAGGCCCAGCGCTGCCAACTTGCCTGGCTCTCCCACACTGCTTGCTGTGCTGACTGTGCTACAGCTACACGCCTAGAGGAAATGACAACAGGTTGTAATAAGGCGAATTTCTCGAAAACATGTCCAACATATGTTTCACCCCAGAGTCGAAAGGAAAAGAAAGTATATATATAATTATTAAACAATTTTCCCACTTAGTAATTTATTTATTTATTTATTTATTTTGCTGACTTTTTTTCTTTTGATTTTGCAGTGAAATATAACCCGGGCATGTTCTTGACATGTTTTGTGGGATTCACCCAATGAAACATTTACTATTTTAATACAAAACTTAAAAAGCTCAGGCCATTTAAATAATTTTCAAGCCTTCACATTTTCTCTGGGTGTTTGTCTTAATTGCAGGTCTTGTTTTTGGGTGTTGAGGCATTTCACTGTGTACCAGCACTGTGTACATATTTATATATATATATATATAAATCTAGATAGAGAGACATTTCTAAAGATACATGCAGATAGATAGATATGTAGATAGAGATAGTTGGATATGTATATAGATAAAGAGATAAAGATGGATATAAATAGATGCCTAGATAAGGAGATGGATGGATAGATGTAGTTCGATATCGATATAGTGAAGTGAAGTGACGTGACGTGACGTGACATGTGGCCAAGTATGGTGACCCATACTTGGAATTAGTGCTCTGCATTTTAACCCATCCAAAGTGACTCGAACCCACAACCTTTGGGTTATGAGTCAGACTCTGACCATTAGGCCACGACTTCCCCCATATAGGTAGTTGGATATAGATGGTCAGATAAAGATGGATATAGATGGATGGATGGCTAGAGAGATGGATGGATAGACATGCATAGGTGGATATATAGAGATAGTTGGAAATATATACAGTCATGGCCAAAAATATCGGCACCCTTGGTAAATATGATCAAAGAAGGCTGTGAAAATTAATCTG